CGAGTTATTCCTCAGAGATAAAGGTGAATTATTATATATTATATGCGACTGCTGTCCTCATGTAAAAAATAAAATAACATCATGTTTAGTTTTTATGCAAAATCTTTATATTATATACGACTGCTGTCCTCATCTAAACAAAGAAATTAAATAAAAACGTCTATAGTCTTTATGCAAAATTTAAGCCTTACTGTATCCCCATTGTCATTTTGATGAAATTTCTGTGTATTGCTAACTCGTGTGTGAAATTCACCACTAATGGTACAATTCATTAGAATTTTCATTTGCAGAAACGATAGAAATATGATTCAGACATCAATTACTTTTAATAAAATGATTGAAAAATTGCTCCATCCAGATATTTCATGCGTGAAAAAGGACATGTATTTGTTCCACTTGATATTTAAACTAATCACCATTTTATCCATTATAACTTCTACTATTACCATTTTTAACATCACCATAGTCACCATCATCATCATCACCACCACTATCATCACCATAATCATCACTATTACTACTACAGCCCTAGCTATCATTATTACTACTATTCTAATATTTAATTACGTCCCCAGCGATGTACAGCCCCTTCATGCCCCACGTCCTGGGCTTCTGGGAGGCGCGTCGGGACCCCAACCTCCTCTTCGTCACCTACGAGGAGCTGCACCAGGACGCGCTCAAGGCCATTCGCAGGATCGCCCACTTCCTCCAGGCGAGTCCCTTTTCTGTCGTGTTTTATTGCATTTTCTTTCATTATCTATATATTTTTATTACTTATTCGTTTATTTGCAATTGTCAAAATTCTCGTTTAACCCTTATGTCATGTTAACCTTTTCCTTTGACCCCGTGTGACCCCAGGTGGAGGCGAGCGAGGAGCAGCTGGAGTACGTGGCCGCCTGCACCTCCTTCGCCTCCATGGCCTCCAACCCGAGCGTCAACTACGAGCACTGGAAGGACTCGGGATTCTGCCACAAGGACAAGGGGAGCTTCCTCAGGAAAGGTGAGGGGAGGAGAGAGAGAGAGAGAGAGAGAGAGAGAGGAGAGAGAGAGAGAGAGAGAGAGAGAGAGAGAGAGAGAGAGAGAGAGAGAGAGAGAGAGAGAGAGAGAGAGCCTACAATGCTCCTCGTATTTTGTTTGTTAATATTAGAGAAAGTTAATGTACACACGACCTCGCCCTCCTCTCCCACAGGAAAGGTCGGCGGATGGAAGGAGAGTCTCAGCGCCGAGCAGATCGAGGCCTTCCAGCGGTGGGAAGACAGGCACTTGGCACACTCCGATTTTCGCTTCACGTTCACGTCCGGGGAGGCGAGGGAGTGAGCGAGGAGTGGAAGGAAGAGGGAGAGGAGAAAGAGGTGGAAGGGTGAGCGAGGAATGGAAGAAGAGGGAGAGGGGAGAAGAGGTGGAGGAGAAGGAGGAGGAGAGGAGAAAAAGAAGAGTGAGTGAGAAAAAGAGGAAGAGGGAGAGAGAGAAGAGATGGAGGAAGAAGTAGAAAAAGATATATTTTTTGTTGTTTTGTTAATCTATTGCCTTTTTTGTTTCCATATTTGTTTCAGATTATAAATAAACAAATATGAATATCAATTTTTCTTTTATTCTCCGACAGGGAAAAGGGCGATTGTAAAAGTTTCGTTGAATCAGTAGCAGTAAAGATGATTATAATGATATCGCTAATGAAGTGAAAATAATCACAGTGGACGCAATGTCAGCAATGAATATACTAAGAAAAACAATCGTTCTTACGATCATAAAGATAATAAAAGTTAAAGAGATGTAGAGAAGTTTCTAATGACAGCAAAAAAACAATATGATGATGACAATAACAGATAAAATAATGATCATGTTAGTGACAGTAATGATAATGGTAATAACGGTACTGATCATTATAATTTTAATGATAATACTAACGACGGTGATCATAATAATGATGATGAAATAATTGTGACAAATATTGATAAAAGTAGTAATAATAATCACACAATCAAATGATGATGATAGTAATAACAATGATAATATAATAAATACAACCATAACAACGAAAATTATCATATTTATCATAACTTTTATCATCACTATCAATACTATCATCGTTATTATCAGTACTTTTACCATTTACATTATTACAAGTGGGATTATTGCAATTAAAACACAGACATACTGTATAAAATATTTCCTCTAGTCTCTCTTATCTTTAAAACAGTAAAATGCATTGTCAGTTATTATGTAACCACGAACGCTATGGACACGTGACCTCAAACACCCTTTACAGATAAGATTTAAATTCCTGATTAAATGTCTAGATGACCATTCGATACCCTAACGTCATCAGTTTATGTGGATTTACGATCTTCCTTTTAAAGAGAGACCAATAGAAACATATATAACGAATAGAAACTTTGGTTTGAAACGAATGGTGGAACAGGTAACCTTCAGCGTGTGTCGACTCTCGTGTCCCGGGCTCTGAGAGGTAAGTTTGTCTCTTGAAGTTCCAGACGCTTTTAATATCCTTTAAAAGCTATGTTTGGGGCTGGGGACGAAATCCCGTGTTTCTTACATTAAGGTGGGTATGTAGTTGTTGGAGTGGAAGAAGTTTGAAAAGTAGGGAGTTGGATATTAGGTTGAAATAGACATAACGCTGAATTCCTTTCATCAATGTGCACAGTCATTTCTGTTTATCTGTTGAAGCGTCTGTCGGTTGGCAGATACCGCCAGAAAACAATTCCTTGTTGCATAGATTAGTATGTAGATTAATTCACTGATGATTATCTTCATAAGTGATGTTTAGTGTGATTAATGAAAAAAAAAGATTGTTGGCAAATTACTGGAAACACAAAGCAAATAATTCCTTTTCTTCTCGTGTGAGGTGATTGGTCACTAACCTTGAACTATCAAATTGATAAAAGGTCTGAAATAGCATGATCAATCTTAAGGTGTATTCTTTGATACTAACCCTTCTATGTAGCACATTATTTGGAATACAGACAGATTTTAATAGAGAAAGAAAACGAATTTTTGGCAAGAGCTGGCAACAGTTCATAGAAAACGAGAAACCAGAGAATGGAATATCATGAGGGGAAACTTTAATTTATTTGAATATTAATACTGGAGCCATTACTATCCGTATTATTATCATAGTTCTCATTCTTATCCTCTTTATTATAGATGTTTTTCGTGATAATATTTTATTTCTGTCATTATTTTTGCCTGTATTTTCGAAAATACATCAATAAGTTATAAAACACACACACACACACACACACACACATACATATACACACACACAAACACACACACACACACATATATAGTATATATACATACGTACACACACACACAAACATATGTATATATATACAAACACACGTATGCACACATGCATTTGTGTGTATGCTCCCCACAAGACTTTACACTATAGCTCTGGTCGTGATATGTAAGTGCTCCTACAATAGCTATTTTTTTAAAAAAAAAAGAAGAAAAAATCTCGAATTTTTGGCAAAGCTGGCAGCAGTTCATAGAAAACGAGAAACCAGAGAATGGAATATCATAAGGGGGGACTTCTATTTATTGGAATATTGATACTGGAGCCATTATTATCCGTATTATTAGTTCTCATTCTTATCCTCTTTATTATAGATGTTTTGAGCGATAATATTATCTTCATTCTTTCATTATTTTGCCTGTTATCTAGTTGATATTAGTTTCGAAAATACATCAATAAGTTTTAAAACACACACATATATGTGTGTGTGTGTGATTACAATACAAACACCCATATACGCATACCCATACACTCAACCACGCACGCACGCATGCACGCACACACAAACACAGACACACATACATATACAGTATATATACATACGTACATTCACACACACACACACACACACACACACACATATATACACACACACAAACACACGTATGCACACATGTATTTGTGTGCATATATATGCTCCCAACAACATTTTACACTATAGTTCTGGTAGCAATATGTAAGTGTTTTTATAATAGCTATTGTATATATAAAAATAATAATAATAATAATAATAAAAATAAAATAATAAAAAGAAAGAAAAATCTCGGGGGGGGGAGGGTCCCAGCGCATTTGTGCTCAATTTTGCTAACGTCCCCCCCCCCGCCACCCACCATAAAAAAAAAAATTGACTACCTTCCATATTTTATGTTTTCAAAATGTGTCACGCCAATTTTAAAGGCCAAATTTGATGTTTCTGTAATATCTCCTTCCTTCTGGGTACTTATAGATCGCATAAAGTTGAAACTCCTATTCACACTCTTCAGAAAAATAATGAATGAAATGGGTTAAAATAGATAGTGAAATTGTAGTTTTCAATTTTATATTCGCGACCTCTTTCTCAAAACTTTTGAAACATCTGCGACTTCATGAATTCTGCCATTCCCTTAAAAAAAAAAAAAAAAAAAAAAGAAAATCTAGCTCCATTACAATTTTTAAGAAAGATATTCAGCAAGCTCTTTCAGAATTTATTTACCTGATTATAAAGCAATCTTTCCTCCAGACATGGCTTCATGATGTATTCTTACTCTGACGAACGCCGAGCTGATTGGCTTAGGATATTTTTCCACCAGGCTTTTTACAGACAGACACAGACACGACAGACAGACAGACCAGACACGACGAGACAGACACTAGACAGACAGACACTAGACAGACAGACTCAGACGGAGGACAGACAGACACAGATAGAAAGACAGGCAGGCAGACAGACTAGACAGACAGACAGACGACTGACAGACAGACAGACAGACAGACAGACAGGACAAGGATAACAGACAGACAGGCAGACAGTCGGACAGACAGATAGAAAGGGACAGATAATGACACAACCCCCAAAAATACTTCAAAATAGAATAATATCGTAACCAACAATTTCCAGAAACAGCTTAAGTTGAACTCGCTCATCATATTGCATTATGGCGGAAAGAATATAACAGCATATACCTTAAGCTTATTTTCGTGTCAGCTTCCGTCAGATGGAGGAGGAGGGCCAGCACCCACTGCCAGAGGGTGCCAAGCTGGTGCAGGTGCCAGAGGGTCTTCTCACGAGGAATGAACATTATGAGTAAGTATATCTTCGAATCTATTTGAATATATCTGTATCTGTCTGTTTTATATATTTGCTATGTATATATCTATTTTCTTTGTATCTGTCTATATTGTCGATATCTATATCTATTTATCTATCATTTTACCTCGGTTTCCATTTCTTTTTTTAGTTTTGCAAAAGGAAATAAAAAAGCTTCTTTGTACAAAAAAAAAAATAATAATAAATCTCGACTCTCCAGTAAGTAGATTAACATCGTTTTTGTAACTCCACGAAATGGAAGTTGTTTTTGTAACTTCTGGTTCTTCTAACACATCTGGCTAACAGGATTCAGATGAAAGTCGTTCTTGCAACCCATTTGAATAAAAACATTGAATTAAAAGTCGTTCTTGCAACTCATCTTAATATAAACATTGAACTGCAACATAGACAAAGAAGGGAAGAACAAGAAACACACGAATGTTTGTGTTTTTCTTATTCTCTCCTTCGTTGTTCCTGTTGCAATTTGTTCGACGTGAAAACATTGAAGTAAAAGTCGTTCTTGTAACTTCTGAATAACTGGATTTAAGTGATAGTCCTTTTTCTAACGCAACTGATAACTAAATTTAAGTGATGGTCGTTCTTCTAACTTATCTGGATATGTGGATTCAAATGAAGGTCGTTCAGAATAGCTGGATAGTTCCTCTGGATAGTCGTTCTTGTATGCACCTGGATGGTTGGATAGTCGTTCTTGTATGCACTTGGATAGCTGGATAATCGTTCTTTTAAACCTCTTTGGCGCACTCAAGGTACAAGGGCTGCATCATCCCGGTTACCATCTTGAGGTCGGGGATGTTTCAAGAAGTTTTGGACTTTGAGTTTCGTTCCGGAGATGTTGTGGTGTGCAGTTACCCGAAGACAGGTAGGAAATGTGTGCAAGTGTGCGTGTTTTTATTTTTTTTTTTTTTTTGTTTTTTGTGTGTGCGTATTTTGTGTGTGTGTCTTTGTTCTTTGTGTGTGTGTATGGGGTGTTTTTGTTTGTTTATGTGCGGTGTACATGTTTTTTATGTATGTGTGTTTGTGCGTGTTTGTGCAGACTTTTCTTCATTAATTTGCTAAGTTCGCCTGAATTATTTACATTTCCTAATTAGCATTTTTTTTTTGTGTTTAGAATCTCCACGAGCAAGAGAAATTCAATTTACATTTTATGCAATCAAAGAAAGACGGACTTTGAAAGTTGTTAGTTTTTCATTTTAAGATTTAGTTTGTGGTACTTAAAGGGTTAATAAAATAATAATTCCTCTCCCTCTCTCTTTACGTATATATACGTGTATACACACATATGTATATATATGTACATGCATGTGTGTGTGTGTATACATATATATATATATGTATATATATGTACATATGTATATATATATTATATATATTATATATATATATATATATTATATATATATATATATATAAATGTGTGTGTGTCTGTGTGTAGATATATATATATGTATATATATGCATATATATGTATATGCACATATATGTATACATAGGTATATATATAAAATTGTTTATATCTATACGTCTCCCTCCCCCCCCTCCAATCCCCTCAAACCACTCTCCGAAGGCACAACCTGGACGCAGGAGATCGTGTACATGCTGACCCACGGGTGCCAGAAGTCCAAACCTGAGGATGGCACTCTGGAGACCCGATTCCCATTCCTGGAGTTCCCGTTCCCGGGCGTGAGGGCGGTGGCAGCCATGGAGGGACCGCGGTGCATCAAGACGCACCTGCCTCGCCATCTCCTGCCGAAGTCCTTCGCTTCGTCGGGAGCCAAGGTTGCGGCACTTCTCCTTTGGATTCTTGTTTTTTCTTGTTTTGTTTTGTTTTTCTCCCGTTTTTGTTACGTTTTGTTTTTTACTGTTATTCTTATTGTTATGTTACTGTTATTGTGGTTATGGTTATGTTATTGTTGTTATTGTATCATCTTTTTTTCCTTTTTGTTATTATTGTTATTGTTACTATTACTGTTATCATTATCAATAGTATTAGTAGAAGTGATAGCAGTAGTAGTAATAGCTGCTATAGAAGTGATGGTAGTAGTAGTTATAGCTGCTATAGTAGTCGATGCAGCAGTAGTTGTAGGAATATTATTTTTAATGTTGGTGTTACTGTCATTTTGATTAGTAGCAGAAGGATTAATTGTATTGTTATTGCTGTTATTATTACATTTAAAATGGATGTGATAAGTTGAATTAATGGCAGTACATGTGCAATTTGTTTTGCAAATCGGTTTTGTTTTCTGGTTTTTAGTTCATCGGATGAGGTGAAGCCAATTTTATGTCGACGCTTTAGACTAAACCAATATATCGTTTCCTTGCAATTTAATTGATCGACAAAAATAAATGTACTTATTTCCTTCGTGTGAAAAGATAGATGGAATGAAACGTAAAGATAAATGGAATGCAATATAAAGACAAAAGGAATGCAATATAAAGATTAATGGAATGCAATATAGTCAATGGTAACTGGCCTAGTTTATAACAGTGCTCCCTTTCAAATCAAAAACCGTTACGAAAATAAACATCTCTGGAAAACCGTTAACACTTATTCCTATTTCCAAGACCATCCCTATGGAAGTAACGCTCCATCGGGAAGCTATTTATCTCGCCTTCCCTGACCTTTGACCCGGTTTCAGCTCGTGTATGTGACCCGGAATCCCAGAGACACAGCCATCTCCTTTTACCACTTTACGAAACTCTTGAAGTCGTCGGTTTTCCAAGGATCGTTGGCTCAGTATCTCCAGTTCTTCCTCGAGGACAAAGGTAGGTCGTGGCTGGTGATGGTAGGTGGATGGTGGTGGTGATGGTGACGGAGGTGGTCGGTGGTGGTTGGTGGTGGTGATGGTGGGGTGACGGTAGGTGGTTGGTGGTGGTGGTATGGTTGGTGGTGGGGGTGGTGGTGATGGTGGTGGTGTGGTGGTTGATGGTGGAGGTGGTGGTGGTGTGGTGATGGTGGTGGTGATGGTGGTGGTGGTGGTGGTGTGGTGGTGGTGGTGATGGTGGTGGTGACGGAGGTGGTGGTGGTGGTGGTGGTTGGTGGTGGTGGTGGTTGGTGACGGGGTGGTGGATGGTGGTGGTGGTGGTGACAGGTGGTGGTGTGATGGTGACAGAGTGTGGTGGTGATGGTGGTGATGGTGTTGATTGTGGTGGTGACGGAGGTGATATGGTGACGGAGGTGGTCGGGGTGGTGGATGGTGGTGGTGGTGGTGACGGTGGTGGTGGTGGTGGTGGTGGTGACGGAGGTGGTGATGGTGGTGGTGACAGAGGTGGTGGTGATGGTGATGGTGACGGAGGTGGTTACAGAGGTGGTCGGTGGTGGTTGGTGGTGTTGATTGTGGTGGTGGTGATGGTGGTGGTGGTGGTGATTGGTGGTGGTGGTGATGGTGGTGTGACAGAGGTGGTGGATGGTGGTGGTGGTGGTTGAGTGTGGTGGTGGTGGTGGTTGTTACGGAGTGGTGGTGATGGTGGTGGTGGTGATGGTGATGGTGGTGATGGTGGTGGTGGTGACGGAGATGGTGTGGTGGTGGTGGTGGAGGTGGTGATAGGTGGTCGGTGGTGGTGATGATGGTTGTGGTGACGGTAGGTGGTGGTGGTGATGGTGGTGGTGGTAATGGTGGTGATTATGGTGACGGTAGATGATGGTGACGGAGGTGGTGGTGGTTGGTGATGATGGTAGAGGTGGTGATGGTGGTGATGGTGACAGGTGGTTGGTGGTGATGTGGTGACGGAGGTGGTCGGTGGTGCTTGGTGGTGGTGATGTGGTGGTGGTGACAGAGGTGGTGGTGATGGTGACGGAGGTGGTTACAGAGGTGGTCGGTGGTGGTTGGTAGTGGTGAGGTGGTGGTGATGGTGGTGGTTGGTGATGGTGACGGATGGTGGTGGTTGGGTGATGGTGATGATAGTGGTATGATTGGTGATGATAGTTTGAGGTGATGACAGTGGTAATTATGTGATGATGAGGATAATGATGGTGATGGTGGTAATTAAGTGAGGAGGATAATAATGATGGTGATGATGCTACTGATCATGATGCGATAATATTGCCAATACCAATGATAACAGCAACGCCAGTAAAGATAAACATGTCATCCCGAACCACAACAAAGATAATACCAACCTCACATTCCTCCAACCCCCTCTCCTCTCCCTCCCTCCCCCTCCCCCCACACACCCAGCGATGTATTTATCCAATTTTATACTTAAACTAACCACCATTTTACCCTTCATTATTATCACTATAACTTCTCTTATTACCATTTTTAACATCATCTTAATAACCATCACTATTACTACTACAGCCCTAGCTATCATTATTACTACTATTCTAATAATTAATTACGCCCCCAGCGATGTACAGCCCCTTCATGCCCCACGTCCTGGGCTTCTGGGAGGCGCGTCGGGACCCCAACCTCCTCTTCGTCACCTACGAGGAGCTGCACCAGGACGCGCTCAAGGCCATTCGCAGGATCGCCCACTTCCTCCAGGCGAGTCCCTTTTCTGTCGTGTTTTATTGATTTATTATATTATATATTTTTATACTTATTCGTTTATTTGCAATTGTCAAAATTCTCGTTCCCTTATGTAATGTTAACCTTCCCCTTTGACCTCGTGTGACCCCAGGTGGAGGCGAGCGAGGAGCAGCTGGAGTACGTGGCCGCCTGCACCTCCTTCGCCTCCATGGCCTCCAACCCGAGCGTCAACTACGAGCACTGGAAGGACTCGGGATTCTGCCACAAGGACAAGGGGAGCTTCCTCAGGAAAGGTGAGGGGGAGAGAGAGAGAGAGAGAGAGAGAGAGAGAGAGAGAGAGAGAGAGAGAGAGAGAGAGAGAGAGAGAGAGAGAGAGAGAGAGAGAGAGAGAGAGAGAAAGAGAGAGCCTACAATGCTCCTCGTATTTTGTTTGTTAATATTAGAGAAAGTTAATATACACACGACCTCGCCCTCCTCTCCCACAGGAAAGGTCGGCGGATGGAAGGAGAGTCTCAGCGCCGAGCAGATCGAGGCCTTCCAGCGGTGGGAAGACAGGCACTTGGCACACTCCGATTTTCGCTTCACGTTCACGTCCGGGGAGGCGAGGGAGTGAGCGAGGAGTGGAAGGAAGAGGGAGAGGAGAGAAGAGGTGGGGGAGGAAGTAGAGGAGGAGAGAGAAAAGAAGAGTGAGTGAGAAAAGGAGGAAGAGGGAGAAGAGAGAAGAGATGGAGGAAGAGGTAGAAGAGAAGATATATTTTTTGTTTTGTTAATCTATTGCCTTTTTTGTTTCCATATTTGTTTCAGATTATAAATAAACAAATAAAAATATCAAATTTTCTTTTATTCTCCGACAGGGAAAAGGGCGATTGTAAAAGTTTCGTTGAATCAGTAGCATTAAAGATGATATATGATATCGCTAATGAAGTGAAAATAATCACAGTGGACGCAATGTCAGCAATGAATATACTAAGAAAAACAATCGTTCTTACGATCATAAAGATAATAAAAGTTAAAGAGATGCAGAGAAGTTTCTAATGACAGCAAAAACAATATGATGATGACAATAACAGATAAAATAATGATCATGTTAGTGACAGTAATGATAATGGTAATAACGGTACTGATAATTATAATTTTAATGATAATACGAATGACATTGATAATAATAATGATATAATAATGATGATAATAATTGTGACAATATTGATGATGATAAAAGTAGTAATAATAATCACACAATCAAATGATGATGATGATGATAGTAATAACAATGATAATGATAATAATATAAATACAACCATAACAACGAAAATTATCATATTTATCATAACTTTTATCATCACTATCAATACTATCATCGTTATTATCAGTACTTTTACCATTTACATTATTACAAGTGGGATTATTGCAATTAAAACACAGACATTATGTATAAAACGTTTCCTCTAGTCTCTCTTATCTTTAATCAACAAAATGCATTGTCAGTTATTATGTAACCACGAACGCTATGGACACGTGACCTCAAACACCCTTTACAGATAAGATTTAAATTCCTGATTAAATGTCTAGATGACCATTCGATACCCTAACGTAATCAGTTTATGTGGATTTACGATCTTCCTTTTAAAGAGAGACAAATAGCATATGTTAAAAGGAATAGAAACTTTGGTTTGAAACGAAAGGTGGAACAGGTAACCTTCAGCGTGTGTCGACTCGTGTGTCCCGGGCTCTGAGAGGTAAGTTTGTCTCTTGAAGTTCCAGACGCTTTTAATATCCTTTAAAAGCTATGTTTGGGGCTGGGGACGAAATCCCGTGTTTCTTACATGAAGGTGGGTATGTAGTTGTTGGAGTGGAAGAAGTTTGAAAAGTAGGGAGTTGGATATTAGGTTGAAATAGACATAACGCTGAATTCCTTTCATCAATGTGCACAGTCATTTCTGTTTATCTGTTGAAGCGTCTGTTGGTTGGTAGATACCGCCAGAAAACAATTCCTTGTTGCATAGATTAGTATGTAGATTAATTCACCGATGATTATCTTCATAAGTGATGTTTAGTGTGATGTAATGAAAAAAAAAGATTGTTGGAAAATTACTGGAAACACAAAGCAAATAATTCCTTTTCTTCTCGTGTGAGGTGATTGGTCACTAACCTTGAACTATCAAATTGATAAAAGGTCTGAAATAGCATGATCAGTCTTAAGGTGTATTCTTTGATACTAACCATTGCATGCAGCACATTATTTGGAATACCGACAGATTTGAATAGAGAAAGAAAACGAATTTTTGGCAAGAGCTGGCAACAGTTCATAGAAAACGAGAAACCAGAGAATGGAATATCTTAAGGGGAAACTTCCATTTATTTGAATATTGATACTGGAGCCATTATTATCGGTATTATTATCATAGTTCTCATTTATTATAGATGTTTTGAGCGATAATATTATCTTAATTTCTGCCATTAATTTGCCTGTTATCTAGTTGACATTAGTTTCGAAAATACATCAACAAGTTATAAAACACAAACACACATGTTTATGTGTATGAGTGTGTGTGATTACAATACAAACACCCATATACGCATACCCACACACTCACCCACGCACGCACGCATGCACGCACACACAAACGCAGACACGCATACATATAAAGTATATATATATATATATATATATATATATATATATATATATATATAATATATATACACACAAACACACATATGCACACATGCATTTGTGTGTATATATGCTCCCCACAAGACTTTACACTATAGTTCTGGACGTAGCATGGAAGTCCTCCAAGAATAGGTATTATTTTCAAAAAAAAAAAAAAAAAAAAAATCGCGGGGGGGGGGGTCCAGCGCAGAAACTGATTTGTGCTCACTTGTGCTAACGCCAATTTTAAAGGCCAAATTTATACGTTCTGTAATATTATCTTCCTTTTGGGTGTTTATAGATCGCAGTTAAGACGATAAAGTTGAAACTCCTATTCACACTCTTCAGAAAAATAACCTCAACGGGCTTGCTCCTGCTCCGAATCACAAGAGTCGCCGATGCAGACACAGAAGGAAAATGAATTAAGGTTAAATGAAAGAGAAAGAAGAATAAATAAAGCAAAGAGGATTTGTGAGAGACGTATTTATTTAACGAATGAATGAAATGGGTTAAAATAGATAGTTAAATTGTAGTTTTCAATTTTATACTCGCGACCCCTTTCCGAAAACTTTTGAAACATCTGCGACTTCCTGATATCAGCCATTTCCTTTGAAATAAAATCCAGCTCCATTAGAAGTTTTAAAAAAGATATTCAGCAAGCTCTTTCAGGATTTATTTACCTGATTATAAAGCAATCTTCCTTCCAGACACGACTTCATGATGTATTCTTACTCTGACGAACGCCGAGCTGATTGGCTTAGGATATTTTTCCACCAGGCTTCGCGACCCACCGGCTGGGAACCACGGAACTAGACAGACAGACAGACCAGACAGAGACAGACGACTTTGACAGACAGACAGACAGATAGACAGACAGACGGACAGACGGACGACAGACTGACTAGACAGACAGATAGAAAGACAGGCAGACAGACAGACAGACAGGACAGACAGGCAGGCAGACAGACAGACAGACAGACAGACAGACAGACTGACTAGACAGACGGAGACAGACAGACACAGACAGACAGAAAGACAGGCAGACAGACTGACTAGACAGACAGACAGACGGACTGACAGACAGACAGAAGACAGAAAGACAGATAAACAGACAGACAAGACAGACGGACAGACAGACAGGGAGACAGACAGACAGACAGATAGACGGACAACCCCCAAAATAGTTCAAAAATATTAATAATATCGTAACCAACATTTCCCAGAAACAGTTTAAAGTTGAACTCGCTCATCATATTGCATTATGGCGGAAAGAATATAACAGCATATACCTTAATCTTATTTTCGTGTCAGCTTCCGTCAGATGGAGGAGGAGGGCCAGCATCCACTGCCAGAGGGTGCCAAGCTGGTGCAGGTGCCAGAGGGTCTTCTCACGAGGAATGAACATTATGAGTAAGTATATCTTCGAATCTATTTGAATATATCTGTATCTGTCTGTTTATATATTTGCTATGTATATCTATTTCTTTGTATCTGTCTATGAAGATATTTATATCTAGTCGATATCTATATCATTTATCTATCATTAATTACCTCAGGTTTCCATTATCTTTTAATTTTAGTTTTGCAAAAGGAAATAAAAAAGCTTCTTTGTACAAAAAAGAAATGTTGAAAATAATAATAAATCTCGACTCTCCAGTAAGTAGATTAACATCGTTTTTGTAACTCCACGAAATGGAAGTTGTTTTTGTAACTTCTGGTTCTTCTAACACATCTGGCTAACAGGATTCAAATGAAAGTCGTTCTTGCAACCCATTTGAATAAAAACATTGAATTAAAAGTCGTTCTTGCAACTCATCTGCATATAAACATTGAACTGCAACATAGACAAAGAAGGGAAGAACAAGAAAACACACGAATAGGCATATTTGTGTTTTTTCTTTTCTTCCTTCGTTGTTCCTGTTGCAATTTGTTCGACGTGAAAACATTGAAGTAAAAGTCGTTCTTGTAACTTCTGGATAACTGGATTTAAGTGATAGTCCTTTTTCTAACTCAACTGGATAACTAAATTTAAGTGATGGTCGTTCTTCTAATTGCTGGATATGTGGATTCAAATGAAGGTCGTTCAGGATAGCTGGATAGGCGTTCTTGTATGCACCTGGATGGTTGGATAGTCGTTCTTGTATGCACCTGGATAGCTGGATAATCGTTCTTTAAACCTCTTTGGCGCACTCAAGGTACAAGGGCTGCATCATCCCGGTTACCATCTTGAGGTCGGGGATGTTTCAAGAAGTTTTGGACTTTGAGTTTCGTTCCGGAGATGTGTGTGTGTGTGTTGCGTGTGTAGTGTTACGTGTTTCCTTCCCTTTTTTATGTAATTTCTGTGTCATGTGGCAATTTCTTTATCTTGCAAGTGGCCTGGATTACCAAGTTATTTTGCAAATTAGCATTTTTGTGTTTAGAATTCCACGAGCAAGAGAAATTCCTTTTTATGCAATCAAAGAAAGACGGAGTTTGAAAGTTGTTTCTTTTTCATTTTAAGATTTATTTTTTGGTTCTTGAAGGGTAAACAAAATAATAATTCCTTTTCCCCCAACTTCACATCTCTCTCTTTACGCATATGTGTGTACACATACACACGCACACACACACACACACACACATATGTAAATGATATATGCACACACACACACACACAACACACACACACACACACACACAACACACACATAATTATGTTATATATTTACATGTGTGTGTGTACTATTAAATATATGTGTGTGTGTGTGTGTTGTGTTTGTGTATATGATATATGTATTATATATTATATGTATGTATATATGTATATATATAAATATGTTTTATCATGTGTATCTCCCTCCCCTCCAATCCCTCAAACCACTCTCCGAAGGCACAACTTGGACGCAGGAGATCGTGTACATGCTGACCACGGGTGCCAGAAGTCCAAACCTGAGATGGCACTCTGGAGACCCGATTTCCCATTCCTGGAGTTCCCGTTCCCGGGCGTGAGGGCGGTGGCAGCCACGGAGGGACCGCGGTGCATCAAGACGCACCTGCCTCGCCATCTCCTGCCGAAGTCCTTCGCTTCGTCGGAGCCAAGGTTGCACTTTCCTTTGATTCTTGTATTTTCTTGTTTTTGTTTTTTGTTTTTTTCCCGTTTTGTTATTACTGTTCTTCTTATTGTAATGTTACTGTTATTGTGTTATATTTGTTTTATTGTGGTTATGGTTTGTTACTGTTTGTTGTTTTATTGGTATCATAAAATTTTTTCCTTTTTTGTTATTATTGTATTGTTACTATTACTGTTATCATTATAATAGTATTAGTAGTAGTGATAGCTGCTATAGAAGTGATGGTAGTAGTAGTAGTTATAGCTGCTATAGTAGTCGATGCAGCAGTAGTTGTAGCAATATTATTTTTAATGTTAGTGTTCCTGTCATTTTGATTAGTAGCTTGAAGGATTTAATTGTATTGTTATTGCTGTTATTATTACATTTAAAATGGATGTGATGAGTTCAGTTAATGGCAGTACATGTGCAATTTGTTTTGCAAATCGGTTTTGTTTTCTGGTTTTTAGTTCATCGGATGAGTGAAGCCAATTTTATGTCGACGCTTTAGAAAACCAATATATCGTTTCCTTGCAATTTAATTGATCGACAAAATAAATGTACTTATTTCCTTCGTGTGAAAAGATAAATGGAATGAAAATTAAGTAAATGAGTGAAATATAAAGACAAAGGAATGCAATATAAAGATAATGGAATGCAATATCAATGGTAACTGGCCTAGTTTATAACAGTGCTCCCTTTCAAATCAAAAACCGTTACGAAAATAAACATCCCTGGAAAACCGTTAACACTTATTCCTATTTCCAAGACCATCCCTATGGAAGTAACGCTCCATCGGGAAGCTATTTATCTCGCCTTCCCTGACCTTTGACCCGGTTTCAGCTCGTGTATGTGACCCGGAATCCCAGAGACACAGCCATCTCCTTTTACCACTTTACGAAACTCTTGAAGTCGTCGGTTTTCCAAGGATCGTTGGCTCAGTATCTCCAGTTCTTCCTCGAGGACAAAGGTAGGTCTGGATGGTGGTGATGGTGGTGATGGTGGTGGTGACAGAGGTGGTGGTGATGGTGGTTGGTGTGTGGCGGTGGTGGTGGTGACGGAGGTGGTGGTGGTGGTGGTGGTGATTGGTGATGGTGGTGTGGTGGTTGGCGGTGGTGTTGATTGTGGTGGTGGTGATGGTGGTGGTGGACGGAGGTGGTGAGGTGGTGGTGATGGTGATGGTGGTGGTGATGGTGGTGGTGGTGATTATGGTGATGGGTGACGGAGGTGGTCGGTGGTGGTGACGGTAATGGGATGGTGGTGGTGACGGTATGTGGATGGTGGTGGTGACGGAGGTGATCGGTGGTGGTTGGTGATGATGGTGGTGTGACAGAGATGGTGTGGTTGGTGGTGATGGTGGTGGTGGTGGTTGGTGGTGGTGGTGATGGTTGTGATGGTGTGACGGAGGAGGTGGTGGTTGGTGATGATGGTGAGGTGATGGTTGGTGGTGGTGACGGAGGTGGTCGGGGTGTTGGTGGTGGTGATGGTGGTGGTGGTGACAGAGGTGGTGGTGATGGTGACGAGGTGGTTACAGAGGTGGTCGGTGGTGGTTGGTAGTGGTGAAGGTGGTGGTGATGGTGGTGGTAGGTGGTCGGTGGTGGTTGGTGGTGTGATGATGATAGTTGGTGGTGATGACAGTGGTAATTATGTGATGATGAGGATAATGATGGTGATGGTGGTAATTATGTGAGGAGGATAATGACGATGGTGATGATGCTACTGATCATGATGTGATAATATTGCCAATACCAATGATAACAGCAACGCCAGTAAAGATAAACATGTCATCCCGAACCACAACAAAGATAATACCAACCTCACATTCACTCCAACCCCCTCTTCTCTCTCCTCCCTCCCTCCCCTCCCCCCCACACCAGCGATGTATTTATCCAATTTTATACTTAAACTAACCACCATTTTACCCTTCATTATTATCACTATAACTTCTCTTATTACCATTTTTAACATCATCTTAATAACCATCACTATTACTACTACAGCCCTAGCTATCATTGTTACTACTATTCTAATAATTAATTACGCCCCAGCGATGTACAGCCCCTTCATGCCCCACGTCCTGGGCTTCTGGGAGGCGCGTCGGGACCCCAACCTCCTCTTCGTCACCTACGAGGAGCTGCACCAGGACGCGCTCAAGGCCATTCGCAGGATCGCCCACTTCCTCCAGGCGAGTCCCTTTTCTGTCGTGTTTTATTGCATTTTCTTTCATTATCTCTATATTTTTTATTACTTATTCGTTTATTTGCAATTGTCAAAATTCTCGTTTAACCCTTATGTAATGTTAACCTTCCCCTTTGACCTCGTGTGACCCCAGGTGGAGGCGAGCGAGGAGCAGCTGGAGTACGTGGCCGCCTGCACCTCCTTCGCCTCCATGGCCTCCAACCGAGCGTCAACTACGAGCACTGGAAGGACTCGGGATTCTGCCACAAGGACAAGGGGAGCTTCCTCAGGAAAGGTGAGGGGGAGGGAGGGAGGAGGAGGAGAGAGAGAGAGAGAGAGAGAGAGAGAGAGAGGGAGGGAGGGAGAGGGAGGGAGGAGGGAGGAGGGAGGGAGGGGGAGAGGGAGGAAGGGAGGAAGGGAGGGAGGGAGGGAGGAGGAGGGAGAGAGGGAGAGGAGAGGAGAGGGAGAGGGAGAGAGAGAGAGGAGAGAGAGAGACGGAGAGAGAGAGAGAGAGAGAGAGAGAGAGAGAGAGAGAGAGAGAGAGAGAGAGAGAGCCTCCTCGTATTGTGTTTGTTAATTTTAGTCAATGTGCACGTTAGACGTAGATCACAACAAAATTTTGATAAACATTCGATATAGAATTACTCTTTCCATTACTTTCCCAAAACAGACTTTTCACACACACAACACATACACACCCATCCCACATCCCCAACCACATGCACAAACAGACCACGGCCGCGAAGACAGGAAAACAAATCGAAAGAAGCAAACACAAAGAAGGAGAGCGGAAGGAAGCAAAAGGAAAGAAATAAGGTAAGATTAAGAGGCCGCGTTGGGGTGGCGAACGACCTCCCCTCCTCTCCCAGGAAAGGTCGGCGGATGGAGGGGAGCGTGGCCGAAGATCAGAACTCAGCGGTGGGAAGACTGTCTTTTGGCACACTCGATTTTTCGCTTACACGGTTCACGTCCGGGGAGGCGAGGGAGTGAGCGAGGAGTGGAAGGAAGAGGAGAGGGGAGAAGAGGTGGGGGAGGAGGAGGGAGAGAGAGGTGGGGAGAAGGAGGAGGAGAGGAGAAAGGGAAGGATGAGCGAGGAGTGGAAGGAGAGGGAGAGGGGAGAAGAGGTGGGGTGGGAGGGAGGAGGAGGAGAGGAAAAAAAGAAGAGTGAGTGAGAAATGGAGGAAGGAGGGAGAGGAGAGAAGAGGTGGAGGAGGAGGAGGAGAAGGAGAAAAGAAAAAGAAGAGAGCGAGAAAAGGAGGAAAGAGGGAGAAAGAGAAAGAGATGGAGGAAGAGGTAGAAGAGAAGATATATTTTTTGTTTTGTTAATCTAACTGCCTTTTTTCCACATTTGTTTCAGATTATAAATATACAATATAATAAGAGCGTTTCCTTTCATTCTTCGACAGGGAAAATAACGATTGTAAAAGTTTCTTTGAATCAGCAACATTAAAGATTATCATACTAATATGTAGTAAAAATAATCATGGTGGAACGCAATGTCAACAATAAATATGCAAAAAAACAAACAAACAACAAAAAAACATCGTTCTTACAGTGACGATCATAAAGATAATAAGATTAAAGAGATGTAGAGAAGTTTCTAATAGCAAAAAAACTATATGATGATGACAATAACATAAAATAATGGTCATGTCAGTGACAGTAATGATAAGGTAATAATGGTGTGTGTGTGTAGATATTGATATACATTCACATATGTGTGTGTGTAGAATAATGATATACATTTACACGTGGTGTGTGTGTGTGTGTATTGATATACATTTACATAATAAGTGTGCCAGATATTGATATACATTCACAATATGCTGTGTATGTAGAATTGATTATACATTTCATTATGTGTGTGTGGTGATTGCGCCAGTGCGATCGTATAGTGTGAACTATCAGAGATATGATCGAACAGCGAGGAGAGATGTGTTAATTGTGGAGCGATGGTGGAAAGAAGGACGGGTGGAGATATTATTGTGTGAGTTTGGCTTGTTAGTTTGTTGTTACTCTTCAAGTAACGAGAATATGAATCTGTTAAATACTGTGAAAATGGAGGAAGCAGCGGTGTTGCTCAAAGATGCCGTTCTTTCGCTTTGACAGTGCAGCAATAGTAAAGGAAGGATACATTTGTCTCTGCCTTTCGTGGGGAAGATGATCGCTGGAATGTACAAAAAAAAAAAGTGTGGCTAATGTAGATCTTATTATACTTTGGTAATGTGCCTAGGGTGCACTTTGCAAGATGAAATTGAGGAGAAAGTATGGCTTTCGGACAGGGACACGATAGAGTATTGATTGTGGAGAATAGGGAGAAGGAAAATCTGCGTAGACAGGGAGACACACATGGAGAGCGTGGAAGCACACCTACCAAAATACAAACACGCAAAGAGCCAGAAAAAGGCAAATAAAAAAAGCAGAAAAATATAAATAAAAGCCGAGCCAGCAGACTTTCGGCAGATAATCATTTGTGCCGTACATCGCTCCGGAACGGAGAACTCAAAGTCACAGAATACTTCTTTGATAACGATGTCCCCGACCCTCAGTATGGTAACGTACAGGGATGAGATGACCCGTTGTCCTGGTTGATGATGGCGCCAAAGAGGTTAATAGAAGAACGAGTAGTTCCCGTCAGCTATCCAGGTGCAGGTCACGAAATACTATTCAAACCATGCATGGTGCATACAAGTTAACGACTATCCCGCTATCCTGAACGACTCCTTGTAACAGTTTGAATTCCGCAGCATGAGTTGCAAACAAGTTTAGAAGAACGACATCTAACTTAAATTTAGTAATCGCAGGTGAGTTAGAAAGGAGGGCTATTCACTTATATCCAGATGCTTGATCAGATAGTTACAAATTGAACGGATACTTTTAGCTTTTACTAGTATGTTTTTTTCAATGTCGAAGCCATTGCACAGGAACAATCGAGAGGGAGAACAAAGAGAAAAGTAAGCGACGTAATGATGCTAGCTTCGGTGTGTTTTCTTGTTTCTTACGCGCTTCGTGTTCCATGTGTTTGCAGGGTGCAATGATTTTTATGATTCTCAGGATGGGTTGCTGAAGAACGACTTTCATGCTGAAGTCCTGTTAGTCGCAGATGTAGTATAGTGAAGTAGATAATACCAGAAGTTCAAAAAACGAGAGTTCCGATTTCGGTAGAGTAAAATGGAAGTTTACAAAAACGATGTTAATCTACTTATGGAGAGTCGAGATTTAATTATTATTTTCAACATTTCTTTTTTTGTACAAAGGAGCTTTTTTATTTCTTTTGCAAAACAAAATTAAAAGATAATGGCAAACCTGAGGTAATTAACGATAGATAAATGATATAGATATCGACTAGATATAAAATACTTTCATAGACAGATACAAATAAATAAATATACATAGCAAATATATAAACAGACAAATACAGATATATTCAAATAGATTCGAAGATATATACTTACTCATAATGTTCATTCCTCGTGAGAAGACCCTCTGGCACCTGCACCAGCTTGGCACCCCTGGCAGTGGATGCTGTGGCCCTCCTCCATCCATCTGACGGGAAGCTGACACGAAAAATAAGCAGGGTATATTTGCTGTTATATTCTTTCCGCCATTATGCAATATATGAAGCTGATGGGTTGCAACTTTACTAAATCATGTTTGCTTTTTCCGCGGAAATGTTGGTTGTCCGTCTAGTCTGTCTGTTTAGTCAGTCAGTCCGTCGTCTGTCTGTTTGTCTGTCTGCCTGTCTTTCTATCTGTCTGTCTTATATCTGTCTGTTGCTTTTGTCTGTCTGGCTGTCCGTCTGTCTGCTGCCGTCTCTATCTGTCTGTCCGTCTGCCTGTCTGTCTCTGTTTTCTATTGTCTACCCTGCCTGTCTTTCTATATGTCCGTCCGTCCGGTCTGTCTGTCTGTCTCTGTCTGTCTGTCTATCTGTCTGTCCGTCTGCCTGCCTGTCTTTTTATGTGTCCAGTCTGTCTGTCTGTCTTTCTGTCTGTCTTCTCTGCTGTTGCCTGCCTGTCTTTCTATGTGTGTCTTTCTGTCTGTTCCCTGCCTGTCTTTCAATCTGTCCGTCTGTCTGCTGTCTTTCTATCTGTCTGTGTAGTCAGTCTGTTCGTCCGCCCGTCCGACCGTTGTCTGTCTGTCTGTCTGTCCGTCTGTCTGTCTACCTCCTGTCTTTCTATCTGTCTGTCTCTGTTCTTCTATCTGTCTACCTGCCTGTCTTCTATCTGTCTACCTGCCTGTCTTTCTATCTGTCTGTCTAGTCAGTCTGTCTGTCCGTCCGTCCGTCCGTCTGTCTGTCTGTCTGTCTATTGTCTGTCCGTCTGCCTGCCTGTCTTTCAATCTTTCCGTCTGTCTGTCTGTCTTTCTATCTGTCTGTCTAGTCAGTCCGTCCGTCTGTCTGCCTGCCTGTCTGTCTATCTGTCTGTCTGTCTTGCTCCCAGCGGTGGGTCGCGAAGCCTGGTGGAAAAATATCCTAAGCCAATCAGCTCGGCGTTCGTCAGAGTAAGAATACATCATGAAGCCATGTCTGGAAGGAAGATTGCTGAATACTCAGGTAAATAAATCCTGAAAGAGCTTGCTGAATATCCTTTTTAGAAATTCTAATGGAGCTAGTTTGTGTGTGTGTGTTGTGTGTTTGTGTGCATGTGTGTGTGTGTGCGTGCGGTGTGTGGTGTGTGTGTGTATGTGTGTGTGTGTGTGGTGGTGTGTGTGTTTTAGGGAATGGCTGATATCAGGAAGTCGCAGATGTTTCAAAAGTTTTTTCGGAAAGGGTCGCGAGTATAAAGATGAAAACTACTATTTAACTATTTTTTAATCCATTTCATTCATTCGTTAAATAAATACGTCTCTCACAAATCCTCTTTGCTTTATTTATTCTTCTTTCTCTTTCATTTAACCTTAATTCATTTTCCTTCTGTGTCTGCATCGGCGACTCTCGTGATTCGGAGCAGGAGCAAGCCCGTTGAGGTTATTTTTCTGAAGAGTGTGAATAGGAGTTTCAACTTTATCGGCTTAACTGCCGTTTATAAATACAAAAAGGAGATATTGCAGAAACGTATGAAATTTTGCCTTTGAAATTGGCACGAAATTACACTTTTAATTACCTATATACCCACATATATACGTATATGCAGGGTAGTCATTTACTTTTTTTTCGGTGGGGGGGATTTATTATTAAGAGGTTAAGAATGAGAACGATGATAATAATTCGGATAATAATGGCTCCGTGTCAATATTCTAATAAATGGAAGTTTCCCCTCACGATGTTCCATTCTCTGGCTTCTCGTTTTCTATGAACCGTTGCCACCTCATACCAAAAGTTCGTTTTCTTCTCTATTCAAATCTGTTGCATGTAGTGGCTAATGTCAAAGAATACACCTTAAGGTTGATCATGCTATTTCAGACCTTTTATCAATTTGATAGTTCAAGGTTAATGACCAATAACCTCATACGAGAAGAAAAGGAATTAGTTGCTTTGTGTTTCCAGTAATTTGCCCACAATTTTTTTTTTTCATTACATCACATTATACATCACTTCTGGAGACAATCTTCGGTGAATCAATCTACATACTTAACTTATCTATGCAACAATGAATTGTTTTCTGGCGGTATCTACCAACCAACAGACGCTTCAACAGATAAACAGAAATGACTGTGCACATTGAAAGGAATTCAGTGTTATTTCAACCTAATATCCAACTCCCTACTTTTCAAACTTCTTCCACTCCAACAACTACATACCCACCTTCATGTAAGAAACCCGGGATTTCGTCCCCAGCCCCAAACATAGCTTTTAAAGGATATTAAAAGCGTCTGGAACTTCAAGAGACAAACTTACCTCTCAGAGCCCGGGACACACGAGTCGACACACGCTGAAGGTTAACTGTCCCACCATTCGTTTCAAACCAAAGTTTCTATTCCTTTAACATATACATATTCGTATTCGTTTCTATTCCTTTTAACATATACATATTCGTTTCTATTCCTTTTAACATATTCATATTCGTTTCCATTCCTTTACAATAAACTATTTGTCTCTCTTTAAAAGGAAGATCGTAAATCCACATAAACTGATTACGTTAGGGTATCGAATGGTCATCTAGACATTTAATCAGGAATTAAAATCTTATCTGTAAAGGGTGTTTGAGGTCACGTGTCCATAGCGTTCGTGGTTACATAATAACTGACAATGCATTTTACTGTTTTAAAGATAAGAGAGACTAGAGGAAATGTTTTATACAGTATGTCTGTGTTTTATCACACTTGTAATAATGTAAATGGTAAAAGTACTGATAATAAAGACGATAGTATTAATAGTGATGATAAAAGTTATGATAAATATGATAATTTTCGTTGTTATGGTTGTATTTATTATCATTATTATCATTATCATTGTTATTACTATCATCATCATCATCATTTGATTGTGTGATTATTATTACTACTTTTATCATCATCAATATTGTCACAATTATTATTATCATCATTATTATTATCATTGTCATTCGTATTATCATTTTTTATTTTCATAATCAGTACCGTTATTACCATTATTACTGTCACTAACATATCATTATTTTATCTGTTATTGTTATCATCATATTGTTTTTGTTGCTGTCATTAGAAACTTCTCTATCTCTTGAATTCTTATTTATGATCGTCACTGTAAGAACGATTGTTTTTCTTAGTATATTCATTGCTGACATTGCGTCCACCGTGATTATTTTTACTTCATTAAAATAATCATCTTTAATGCTACTGATTCAACGAAACTTTTACAATCGCCCTTTTCCCTGTCGGAGAATAAAAGAAAATTTGATATTTATATTTGTGTATTTATAATCTGAAACAAATATGGAAACAAAAAAGGCAATAGATTAACAAAACAACAAAAAATATATCTCCTCTTCTACTTCTTCCTCTATCTCTTCATTCCTCTCCTCCTTCCCCTTTTTCTCGCTCACTCTTCTTTTTCTCCTCTCCTCCCTCACCTCTTCTCCTCCTTCCACTTCCTTCCTTCTCCTCCTCTCCTCTCCCCACTCTTCTCTCCTCTTCCTCTTCCTTCCACTCCTCGCTCACTCTCCTCGCCTCCCCGGACGTGAACGTGAAGCGAAAATCGGAGTGTGCCAAGTGCCTGTCTTCCCACCGCTGGAAGGCCTCGATCTGCTCGGCGCTGAGACTCTCCTTCCATCCGCCGACCTTTCCTGTGGGAGAGGAGGGCGAGGTCGTGTGTATATTAACTTTCTCTAATATTAACAAACAAATACGAGGAGCATTGTAGGCTCTCTCTCTCTCTCTCTCTCTCTCTCTCTCTCTCTCTCTCTCTCTCTCTCTCTCTCTCTCTCTCTCTCTCTCTCTCTCTCTCTCTCTCTCTCTCTCTCCTCTCCCTCCCCCTCACCTTTCCTGAGGAAGCTCCCCTTGTCCTTGTGGCAGAATCCCGAGTCCTTCCAGTGCTCGTAGTTGACGCTCGGGTTGGAGGCCATGGAGGCGAAGGAGGTGCAGCGGCCAACTCCAGCTGCTCCTCGCTCGCTCCACCTGGGGTCACACGGGGTCAAAGGGGAAGGTTAGCAACACATAAGGGTCAAAAGGAGGTCAAGCGAGAATGTTAACTTCTCATTTTATGGAACTGATAGCTAAATAAACAATTGCAAATAAGCAAATAAGTAGCAAATATATAAAATTAAACGAAAAGATAATATAAATCAAAATAGAAAACGGACTCGCCTGGAGGAAGTGGGCGAAGCAAAAAATAGATCATGAAAAAAAAAGAAATAAAAAAAAATGAAAGAAAATATAATAAAAAAAAACAACAGAAAACAGACTCGTCTGGAGGAACTGGGCAAAGTAATAAAAATAAATAAATAATGAAAGAAAATGCAATAAAACATGACAGAAAACGGACTCACCTGGAGGAAGTGGGCGAAGTAATAAAAATAAATCAATAATGAAAGAAAATAGAAGAAAACATAACAGACGAAAAGAAAATATAATAAAAAAAAAACAACAACAGAAATCGGACTCGCCTGGAGGAAGTAGGCGAAGCAAACAACAACAAAAATAAATAATGAAAGAAAATGCAATAAAACCCAACAGAAAAGGGACTCGCCTGGAGGAAC